GTGATCCATTATCTGAAATTCTTCCAGAGTTTCAAGTGTTATACAGTTCTCAAAAGTTGATAACTCATCGATATAATCACAATTTTCTTCTTGAGGTAGGCACAGTGTTTTTTTCATGGAAAATGTGACTCTATCACCACCTAAGCTCAGTGTTATTTCGCCTTGGGCGACATTAATGGTTGCTTGAGCGGTGGCTAGGAAAGATCTCTCCAATATGATTGGAATTTCGTGATCTTCGCTCATTTCCATTATTATGAAATCTGCAGGGAAAATAAATTTGTTCACTTGCACTAGTACATCATGGACAATTCCTTTCGGAAGTCTTATTGGTTTATCAGCAAGTTGAATTACAGTTCTGCATGCTTCTAATTCATAAAGCCCTAATTTAAAGAAAATCGTAAAGGGCATAGATGTTTGCTCCTAAATCACATAATGCTCTGATTGGCTCTAAATTGCCTATAGTACAAATAATGATCAAACTCCCAAGATCGCTTAATTTCTTTGGGAGATCCTCCTTAAATACGGCGCTGCACACACTTTCTAGCCGCACCGCTGCCGTTTCGTCCGAGAATGCCCGTTTTCGATTGATGATGTCTTTTATGAACTTAGCGTAATGTGGCATTTGCGATAAAGCATCAACAAACGGTATAATAACTTTAACAATACGGAAAGTATGCACAAACTTATCAATTTTTTTGGAATTGTCATTTTTTCCAAATCTGGTAGGAAAGGGAGCCCTAGCCAACGGCTGAGCGGGACCTTTTTCCTTCGGTTTAGGCACCCGAGCAGCTGGTATCGCTCGTGGCTGGGATGGACCTTCTTCCTCGGTTGGAATCTGTATAACTTCATCCCGTACAGATAGGTTAGCAACAAAAGGAGTAGAAGAAGAATTAGTACCTCTGTCTGGCAGTTGTAGCGATTGCGTCCACTTTCCACTCATTGTTTCTATGGCCTTTGCTTGGTTCGAGACAGTCTCGATTGTCCCAGGCAGCGTTCATTTCAGCTTCAGCTTCATAGCTTCAACTATTTGTCCGACCTGGATCTCTAGCATTTTGATCGAGGCAGACGTATTTCGTTGGAACTCCTGATTCGCGCGCTCTATGTTCCTCCAGAGTTCCTCCAGACTCAGTGGCGCTTGAGGTTGGGCAAAAACAGGTGCCTGCTGCAGAAAATGGGGGGTTTGAAAGTACGTTGTTGATGTGGATAGAATCCCCCTTGGTGATATTGTTGCGCAACGAACTGTTGCGACCATTGGAATTGTTGCTGAGGACGCGGTCCAGCAGGGCCTTGACCATGCCCTTTTTTGTACTGCTGGAACTGAGGGGCATTTCTGCCAGCCATATAAAAGACCTCCGCTGGGTTCTGAGTCTCCTCAGATGAGCTCTCAGCAACCTGCGAGCTTTGCTGGTCTGTATAGGTGCACTCTTCAATCACCTTGGCCTCGTTCATTGTCTGCTTCCCTTTACTGCGCAGGTCCTGCTTCACGAGCTTAGACTACTCTTTAACTTGAACAGACAAACTGTATATCCCTGCGTCGTGAGAAACTGAAGCAGGGACCTAGTATAGACCCCTTGATGGCTCCGGCCTGTTAGTCTCTGGCCAACTAGTCTGATTGGCCGCCATTTTTTCAATTAAAGCCCTCGCTTTTGAGGCACAACGCCCCATCAGCGAGCTTCTTGCCGCTGCATCTAAGGACATCCTCAATTCAGGCGTGATTCCTGAGTAGAAAATCTATAGCTCCATGAAGTCCGGATGTCGTGATGCGGGCAGTTGCGGAGCAATTGTTTGTAGTGGCTCCATGCTCTATGAAGGGTCTCATCACTCGTCATCTTGAAACTCAGAATTTTATTTCTTTGACGAATAATTTTTGACACAGAATAATATTTACTCACGAAGGTCTGCTGTTTCCTTGAAGGTCGCAGGAATGGGATAGAGACTATCGAACCATTTCCTGGCTTCTCCAGTTAGAGAAAAGGGAAACAAAATTAATTTTGCAGCATCCTCCGTGATCCCGTGCGATTTAGAGGTGACAGCGATCCTGTTGAAGTTCTGAAGATGCTCATACGGGCTTTTGTTGAGCAGCCCATGGAATTGACTCTGGCTCACCAGGCTAACGAGCGCTAGCTTCACCTCATAATGGCCAGAGCCTCTGGACGCAGAACTTGTAATAAATGTATTATCCAGAAGGGACTGATAGTGAATGTTCATGGGGACTTCAGCAAGGGGGCGATCAGCAGCACTGTGTCCCTCAGGCCTCTAGTTAGGCTCAGCAGTAGGTGGTGGGGGAGTGATGATAGCGGGTGTTGCAGCGGCGTTGGCAGCTTGGGCCGTTTGGAAAGCGATGAATGCTCTCTGGGCAGCTTGTGCTTTCTCCACCTGAGCGAGGTGCGCTTGTAGCCAAGCCATTCCCTGTTGGATGTTGCCGATCGCTCTCATGAGCTGTTCATCGGTTGGTGTCAGCGTGTGGGGAACGACAGTCGGGCGAAGATGCTGATGTGGCAGAATTCGAAGAATTCCCAGCGGCAGTCTAGAAAACTGGGACGACAGTAGAGGGAGCGACAACATTTCTTTGGTTGGCCATGATTTTCTTTCTAGTTAGCTCTCTGACCAGACGTCTCTGTAAACGAGCCCAGATTTTATACTCTTTAACTAGTGAGTTTTCAGGTCGAATACAGAGATTTTATGTCATGAATTTCAAATCGAGTGCAGATTTTATAAAAGTGGCAGAAAATGCAGTTGAGGGATCCGACTTCAAGTGGATCAAAATTCTAATTCTACGAAAAACGGTTAGTAAAAACGGTAAAGTATTGCGGAAGCGAGCAGCGTGGAGGTGAGCGGTGGAGTGCCAGTGAGGGGTGAGCGAGTGGCACAATGAATATACATATGTATAGATTAAGCGGTAAAGAGTGAATGAGAGGTGTTGTGTCTGAACTGTGCGTTACTTAATAGCTAGATTTTCCTGGATGAAATGAGCGAGTGGTGTTGGTGTTTAAACGGACATATATGTATAATACGGAAGCGGGGGAAGAAGATGATGTAAATATATAAACCAAATTATAGAGAATCCTTATCACTAGTATCTGACCTTAAGGGATTTACAATAAGACTTCAATGACACCCAGAATTGGAACATTATAAAAAAGAAACCCTACTGTCACTAGGAATTTCTGTGACCTTATAGACCACCGTCTATGCCCTATTAATTATCCCAAATCTGCCTCATTAGTGGTTTTACCCTTCTGTTACCTCTTTTTAAACAAAACTGAATTTAAACCAGTAGTTAAGCAGGTCGACAAGACTCCCATGTACTTAACTACATTGAACTACCTTGAAAATATTTGTGACAAAAAACAAGGTTTGGCTAATCAATTTTTCTGTGCTCTAAACCAGTGAAGTGAAATTCTTTAAAATCAGGATTTATATAAATGTGAAAAAGTGTGAAAATGGAGATGAAGAACAGAATGATATTTCATTACTTACCAGTAAAGCTGGAATTTCTAATTCTACAAAACCGTAAATGAAAGCAATAAACTACACTAAGTAAGCAGTAAAGTATTGGCCAGGAGAGAAGGGGATTCCCCTTCTCCCTTGGCCATTCCTGTGGAGAACTCCTTACAGTTGGAGAACAGGAAGACAACTAGAATGTAAAAAAAAGAAATCGCTAGTATACTCCAATCGAAGTACATTTACATACAGGTATCTGGCCCTATTTATAGCAGGTAGAAATAACGGTTGCAAGCAATTACAAGGTGGTTTCAACCGCTAGGCAGTTGATGACAGTTATTCTGTTTAAGCAGTTGCTGGCCATAACTCCTAGTGTGCTCGCTCCGCTTGCATGGGTTTGTAAGGGCGCAGATTTTCCTCGTTTTCCGGATGATTTGAGGACATCAACGCAGCTAGGCTGGCTTGCTTGTGCTGGCTGGTAGTGGAATAGCTGTCCCGCTGCAATTGGGACACTTAGTCAATATTTCAGTTGGGTTGCCATCACTCTGCAGCGGTGGGTGTCTGGGGCGTCACTTGCGAGCGGGAGGGGCTGCCGCTTGTGAGCGGTGGAAGCTACCGCTTGCTTCTCTTGCCTTAGATTTCTGGGCGATGGACTCACCGCTTGTGAGTGGATATGACTGTCGCTTGTGGCATCTGCCTTAGCTTTTCTGGCTCTAAAACACCCTTAAAAGGGCAAAAATTGTTAATAATCTCAACAAACCAACTCAGGACCATGCCAAGCGATATAGATCAATAAAGTATACCATTAACCAGTTATTGTGATAGTTTTTATACAGAAATTCAAGTAATAAGTAGTTTTGTCAAGCGAAGAATATGCTTATATTTGGAGTATGTCTCTGCCCAGTATATTGCAGTATGTCTTTATGTCCTAATATATTGAAATAGGCAGTGGGAAAGGAGAGGTTATGCATGTACAAGAACCATGAGTTCTACCGAAATAAATGAGAGAACTAAGGAAATCATTAACTTAATGAGTCTGGAATTGACAGCTAGTAAATAACCATAAGTAGAAGGAAGGTGGTAAGAGATCTTCTTTGCTTGTCTTTTGCTCTGTGAAATTGTTCATCTCCTCATCCTTTGGTAACTTTCGACTAATTAGTTACTGTTAGACTGATCATTTTATTTATTGATACTTGCTGGAATAAGTACAGAAGCCAAATTGTAGTGGCAAGCCCTTGGAACTACTTGTCCACAGAGTCCTAATTAAAGAAAAAAAAATAAAAATCTGACTATGAACCAAAAATAAATAGCCATCATATAAAAATAAAAGGTATGAATTCTAGACTAGATCGATGAAACTGCATTCTTCATATGCAAAAACACATGCAATATCCACTATAATTCTTTATCACAAAAATTAAAATAATGATAAAAAAAAAAAAAGGAATCCCTGCTGCCAGCTGCTTAAAGAATATTGTGAAATTTAATTAAGCAGACTTTGTATAGGCAAGAACAACAGAGAGAAAGGTGCATAGAAATGAGCAACAATGAATTACCTCAGTGAATGAGCCAAAATTCTGTTGGGAAGCTAGAGGCTGCATTCGTGCTTTTATTTGTTCACATGCATCCATAACAGCTGCACCATATATATCAGAACTTGCAGAAGCTGCTGTTGGGGAGGCATTGGGAACCTGAATGAGTAATTAGCCACATAAGTGGCTTGTCCATTCCAGACTTCCGACGATCACCATCAAATATATAAATTGCCACCACAGGTTAAAGATATTAGTGGCCCCAAATTACATGCATGTGTTGACCAACAAAAGGAATAATATGTTGTATAATATTTCAATATTTAATGCTTGTAATCAAGCATTTAGAATGATCCTTGAGGTTCAGTTTTCTTTGGTAACTGCTGTCGAAACTAGTGTTCATGGGAATAGTATATATTTCCCACAAGAAGACTCTGACTCACTGAGTGTAAAAGCATATGCTTGAATTAATTGTTTTATGGCATCAGATAATGGTGAAACAAATGTAACCAGATTATCATTATAGCTTGGATATTGTAACGACTAACGATGAGCTCATGATATCTAGAAAGTTTTCAAAACACATACAAGATTAATTATAATTCATTTCATACTCACATATCATATTATATTTGTCTAAGAGAATAATATACATACACAAAAAAAAATTATTTTTCACCTTATCAGTACTTGTCTCTGATATAAATACAGAGGCGAGTGGAATATTGAAAGAAGAAGCAGCAATCTGTGCAATTTTTGTATGCAAACCTTGACCCATCTCAGTACCACCATGTTTGACCAACACAGTTCCGTCTGTGTACACATGAACAAGAGCACCTGCCTAGAACCAAAAACAAATGAAAAAACAAAAAACTGATATATGAACATGATAAAATCAATAATGTGTTATTTTTCGGTTTTCTGAAATGGTTGTGACCTGATAAAAATCATCCAGAAAAAGATATTCAATACATAGCATATCATAATAAAGACAAGCACGCACTTGATTTTGAATGTGTAGAAGTGTGTTCTTGAAGGGTCACATATTTATTAATACCAAAAATTTTGTATGAATATTTATACATTCATAACAATATATTATATATATATATATGATGTGAATAAATTAATCGAAAAAATGATCCATCTTTTTGGTTTATTTTACAAGATACATATATAGAAAAACATAAAGAAAAAAAAAAAAAAAAAAACTTTCTAATCTAATCTAATCTCAAAATTCTAGCCAATAAATCAGTCTATCCTTATCCCTTGATTTAAAGGATTTAAATAAACGTATCTCTATTAATTTATTTGTAAATCTAATTAATTACATCTACATGAATCTAGCCAAGTATTTTGACAAGGGTCACCCATTTTCAAACTGCTTTAGAGCAAAACACGCTTAATTTTAGAGTTCTTTAAGTGGGGCTTCCGAAAGGAATATGCACATTGTTCACATGAGTAGTCTATTCAATTCATTTAACATCTAATTAACCTTGGATGGCCTGTCACCTGTCACCGGCTCACCTCCGGGGGTATTACATCATCCCCCACTTTAGAATGCAACGTCCCCGTTGCAACCCAAGGATCATCAACTGCTAGCCCTCATTAATCCGGTCAACGACTGCGGGTTATCGCAGGTCGGCTCTGATACCAACTGTGACACCCCGGCCTGCAAGCTAAGCGTGTTGGGATTGCAGACTGGCCCCACAAGTCAACACAAGTCCTCACTTTAGAATGCAACGTCCTTGTTGCAACTCAAGGATCATCAATTGCTAGACCCGTCATCAATCCGGTCAACAATTGAGGGCTATCGCAGGTCGGCTCTGATACCAGCTGTGACACCCCAACTCGCAAGCCAAGCGTGTAGGGATTGCAGACTAGCCCCATGAGCCCATCATTAGTCTGATCAACGACTGCGGGCTATCGTAGGTCGGTTATGATACCAACTATGACACCCCGGCCTGCAAACCAAGCGTGTCGGGATTGCAGACTGGTCCCAATAGTCAACACGAGTCCTCACTTTAGAATGCAACGTCTTCGTTGCAACCCAAGAATCATTACCAACTGTGACACCCCAACCCTTAAGCCAAGCGTGTCGGAATTGCAGACTGGCCCCATAAGTCAACATGAGTCATTCCAGCGCGCTTCTGTCCTCACTCATGCGCACCCTGCGAGACTTCTCAAGGGGCTACCCATCCTCAAATTACTCTAGAGCAAGTACGCTTAACTCTAGAGTTTTTTTAGTGGAGCTTCCGAAGAGAAATGTGCACATTGCTAGGCCCGTCATCAGTCCGGTCAACGACTGCGAGCTATCGCATGTTGGATCTGATACCAACTGTGACACTCCGGCCTGCAAGCCACGCAAAGCTAATCATGCCGGAATTGCAGACTGGCCGCACAAGTCAACACGAGTTCTTCTAACGCGCTTCTGTCTTCACTCACGTGCACCCTGGGAGACTTTGCAAGGGGTCACCCATCCTCAAATTACTCTAAAGCAAGCACACTTAACTCCAGAATTCTTTCAGTGAGGCTTCCGAAAAGGAATATGCACATTGTTGACATAAGTAGTTTATTTAATCCATTTAACATCTACTCAACCTTGGATGGCCTAGCACCGGCTCATTCATAGGAGTTGGCCTAGCACCGGCCTAACTCCGTGAGTATTACACCAATCCCGCCTCCAGTTTTTGTTTGATAATTGTCTATCTATTTCAATGTGTTTTATCTTCTCATGCTATACTAGGTTATGAGCAATGTTTTATAGAAGCCTTGTTATCACTGTACAACTTAATAGGGCCTTCAATTTTAACCTTCAAATCATTTTTAGCCAAAGCATTTCATATACTCCTTAGGAAATAACCCTAAATTCAAACGTCGATGACCATGCTACAACATTGGTTTCTTGCTTCTCCATGCTAGTAAGCTTCCTCTAAGAAAAATGCAGTACCTGGTAGTTGATCTTCTATCCTCTAGAGATCCAACATAATCTGTATCTGTGTAGGCTTTCTAAAGTAAGAGCATTGTGTCTTCTATACAAAATTCATTTTCCCGGACTGCTCTTCAACTAGTGTAATACTTTGTATTTTTCATGTAGATGTGATTCTCTGGGATCATGCATAAATTGGCGTATAACACTCACAAAACAAGCTATATCAGGTTTAGTATGGGCAATATAGATAAGTTTGCCAACCAACCTCTGATACATAGCTTTATCAATGAATGGCTCTTCTTAGCTGCACTTGAGATTTAGATCCATGGGAGTAGAGATAGGTTTCTATCCTGCCTTTCCAATTTCCATCAATGTATCAGTAACATATTTTTGTTGTGATATAAAGATTCATTGGGAGGGGTATTGTGACACCTCAACCCACAAGCTATGTTAAGCTGGGCGTGTAGGGATCGTAAACTGGCATCATAGGTCAAAAAGAGTTTTTTCAGCGCGCTTCTGTTCTCACTTACGCGCACCTTGGGAGACTTTTCAAGGGGTCACCCACCCTCAAATTACTCTAGAGCTGTTTGTTCTAAAGTTCTTTCAGTAGCGCTCCCGAAAAGAAATATGCACATTATTGACATGGGTAGTCTATTCAATCTCAGATGGCCTGGCACCGGCTCATCCACAGAAGTTGGCCTAGCACCGGCCCAACTTTGGGGGTATTACATCCTCCCCACATAAGAATGCAACATCCCCGTTGCACCCCAAGGATCCCTCAATTGCTAGGCCTGTCAGCAGTCCGGTCAACGATTGCAGGCTGTTGCATGTTGACTCTGATACCAATTGTGACACTCTGGCCCGCAAGTCACGCTAAACCGGGCGTTTCGGGATCGTAGACTGGCCCCACAAGTCAACATGAGTCCTTTCAACGTGCTTTTGTCCTTACTCACACGCACCCTAGGAGACTTCACTGGGTGTCATCCATCCTCAAATTACTCTAGAGCAAGCACGCTTAATTCTAGAGTTCTTTTAGAAGGGCTCCCGAAAAGGAATGTACACATTGTTAATATGAGCAGTCTATTCAATCTTGGATTGCCTGACACCGGCATCCACGGGACCTGGCCTAGTACCAGCCTAACTCCGGGGGTATTACATGTATGCAACTTCAATGCCAAGGAAATAATTCAACTTTTCCAACTCTTTTATTTCAAACTCCTTTAATGATTCGCATTTTAGCTCCATCTTCACTTTTCCATAACTCTTGCAAAACGACCAAACCAAGCTCTTGGTGATTGTTTAAAGCCATAAAGAGTCTTCTTAAACTTGCATACTTTTCCCACTTCACCCTCAAATCCCAGTGCTATATTTATGTAGATTTCCTCCTTTAAGCCCCCATGGAGAAAAACATATTTTACATCATATTGTAGCAGTTCCCAATCAAAATATTAAGCTAGGGGCAATAAGATTCTCACAGTGTTCATCTTGGCTACCAGATAGGCTGAAATTTTAGGGACATGAAAGAACATCTTTTAGGATAAATGTAATAGTAATATAGAAATATTACCAATTCAACAACAATGGTGAGAGAACCATCAGCCACAATAATTTTCCGGTTACTTGAGTAGGGATTATATGTGCGGAAAAATTGGGAAGTAGGAGCTACATGATTTGTGGCTCCAGAGTTTATACTCCCATTGAAATCATAAAACACTTTGGAGTCTTGAGGCATTTTTGCATAAAGAGGACCAGATTTTACCTGAAAAAGCAAGTGAACCAATTCTATAAGGCTTTTCAAGAGAGCAAAACAAACTCCTTAATTTCTCAATTTCCTTATTGTTAAATGCTTCCTTGGAGTGATTAGGTTTTGGGGTGACAATTGTCTTTGACGTTGACATGATGGAAGAAAATCAACAATTGAAGTTGTATAATGCTTTAGCAATTAAGGCCAAAATTAGGGAACAAAATCTAGGGTTTGGCGGTGAAGGAACAACTAGAACTCTATATTGGAGGCAGCAAGGTTTCTTTTGAACCAAACTCTGATACCATATGAATAAATGAATCAAAAAAAATATCCAGAATCGTTTTTGGCTATTTTATAGGATACATGTTAAGATATATTTAAAAAATATATATTATATTTATAATAGTTGTCTTATTTAGAAATTTGTAAGATGCTTGTCTTATTTAGACGATGTCCTTATAAATATGCACAAGTTCTTATTATGAAAATAGAAAATTTTAGTTTCATAACGTGTTGAGAGTTCTGATTCAGACTGATCTAGTGGATAATTCTTGCTACATCACTTTCGGTTACTTCTGACAAACTCAAGTTTATTAGATCATACGTTGAGTTTGTGGAGGAATTGTTAAGAAGGGATCTGGGCTTCCAACCTAAAACCAATTGGTAATAAGTGGAGTGGCTCTTCACCTAGATGCTAAAATATATTTAGAAAATATATATTATATTTATGGTAGTTGTTTTGTTTGACGGATTTGTAGAATTCTTGTCTTATTTGACTATTTGTATACCATTATAAATATGCATGAGTTCTTATGATTGAAATAGATAATTTCAATTTCATATTTCTAACACATATAAACCAATACCTAAACAAAAAAACAAAAACTATCTAATCTAATTTGAAAATCCTAGCCAATAAATCCGTCTATCCTTATCCTTTGATTTAAGGGATTTAAATACAAATATCTCTATTTAATTATTTGTAAATCTAGCCATGTATTTTGACATATGATATGAATTTTTTGTAACTTTTTATTTATGATGTGAATATATGTGTGTTGTGTGTAAATTCAAATGAAGAAAAACGTAGGTGATAGCTGCAGTTTAAAAAATGCAGAACTGATTCCTCTTTAGGAAGGACGAAGAAAAGTATTTTCAAATCAAACAGCTTTAACATACAGAAAAAAAAAAAAAAAAAAAAAAAAAAAAAAAAAAAAATCAGATAGAATCAGAAAGAGTGAAAGAGATAGTCTACCTGATTCATAAACTTAGCAGTGAAAGAGATGCCAAATTTTGTTGGAACAATAGCAATTCCCCGCTTCCTCCATCTATTTTGAAGATTGAATAGCTCAACTTCTTTGCGAGCATGCAATATGTCTGTGGACATCTTCAGTTCATTCCATAGACGTTCCACGGTGGACTGTTCAATTTTTTGACCATAATGCAAAACTGATCCCTCCTTTTGAAAATTGATCTCCTGAAAGAGCAAGTGCATGGTTAAGGAAAACAACATATTTTCAATTTGCAAACTCAACATTGCACTACCCAATTTGACAAGTACAAAGTACAGAAACAAAAATGTATACCAAAGGAATTGGTTACAGTTACATACCCTAATTTCTTCTGGGCTTTTCTTGACTTCCATGGAAATTCTTTGAACCCAATTCTCAGCAATTAACATGCCCTGTGGGCCGCCAAACCCTCGGAAAGCAGTATTACTGGGAAAATTAGTGAAGCAAACCTTTCCTTTAATCCTAACATTCGGAATCTCATACACATTGTCTGAATGGAACATGGCACGCTCAAGCACCAGAAGTGAAAGATCAAGCGAGTTTCCACCATTATTGTAGATTTCAAGATCCAAAGCAAGTACTTTTCCATCATTAGTAAAACCAACCTACAAAATGTAATTTTATTACTAATTATATCCTGAATATACTTCAGCACTAAAAAATTCTATAGGGCAATTATTGTAGATTTCAAGATCCAAAGCAAGTACTTTTCCATCATTCGTAAAACCAACCTACAAAATGTAATTTTATCACTAATTATATCCTGAATATACTAAAGCACCAAAAAATTATACAGGGCAATGCTGAAACAAAAGCAATTATCGCCAACCACTTGACATAGGAATTAATATATCACCACAGCTATGAGATGGGGCAAGTGTTTTTATCATCTTACTATGCAACAGTGAAGCCTAAACACCTTATTCCACTCACTCAAGTTATTACCGAGCAAAAGATGAAAATTAAGTGTGGCATAAGGACATCCACCATTCTAAGCATGAATATTGGCAAATAATATGAAGATAATGAGACGGACACTTTCACATGCTATGATCAATGTAATTTTACTGGAACAAATTTTCCTTAAGGTGAAGTATGTAAGCTGCTGAGTGTTCACATTAGAAAAATTTTGGAGCTCCCGGGTAAACTGAAACTCCTTCTATCACCAATTGGTTTTGAGATGGAACTCCGGAGTCCTTATTCCTTTTTAATATGGTATCAGAGCTATGAATACTTTCAAAATGATTATCATCTCAAAAGGGGAGTTTAGAGTGTCCCACATTAGAAAAATGTTGGGAGCTTCCCTTAATTTATAAAGGTGAAGGGCAACTCCTCCTACTACCAAGTGGATTTGAGATGGAGCCCCGGATCCCTTCTCAATAAAAGCTATTCATGACATTTGCAAGTTAACAAGTACCTTATACATCCCGAGAAAGCTATGGCGTTGTCCGGTTATCATCATGTCTACATCCCTGTCTAGTGTAATCTTCACAGGACGATTCAGCAAATATGAAGGAATGGCAGCTATAGCAGCCAGGAAAGCAGACCGGGTTTCTTTCCCTCCAAATCCACCCCCAAGTCTTTTGGTCTTGCAGACCACTTTTGACAATTCGAGACCAAGAACACGAGCAACATATTTTTGGTGCTTCTCTGGGCACTGGAAACAAACATAATTACATAAATGTTACTCCCTTGGTCATCAAAATTTATACCCATATAGTTGAGCTCGAGTTTTAATAAAAATGGATAAAAATAGTTATTTTTTTATAGTAAAAAAAGGTACAATAACATTTTTTTTCTAGAAAGAAAATGGGAATATTTTTTTTATGACTAATAAAAAAAATGGACATAAATTTGGATGATAAGGGGAGTAACATTTTCTGAAAATCTGAGTTCACTTCACTGAAATTGCCAAAATGTAGCAAGCACAATGTAAGTAAAGCAACTGTTACAAATGCTATCAGCAAAAAGGTAGGAAAAGCAGCAGTAACCCGCGATTCTTTCAAGCAATCTGAGACACAAAAGCAATGCTCTGAAATGATTTAGGATAATAATGGAAAAATAAAATATATATATATATATTAGAGAAAATGCAAAGTTATTTATGAACCATGAATAAATTCAAAGTACCATTCCAACTCCCTGTGTTACAAGATAAAGAATGCAGAACCTTTGCTGATAATATAAGTATTTATTATTTACTTACAATTTTGATTCCTTCTCGATTTGCATCACCCAAGTATTTTTCTTCAAACCTCTAGGTCTAAGTATCCAATCTATGATTCCTTAACCTTTTCAATTCCCCAACCACATTGGTTTCATTTTGTAAAACTTAAAACAAGTAGAGTTAGGTCGGTGGAAAAAGTTCTAACCCCTATTTCATAACTTGTGTATGCTTCCGTGTGTACTAAAATCATCTTTAAATGATAATAATATGCAAGTGAAATTCCTCCAACATATCATTAGTATGCACAAATGAAAGCAAAAAATGCAGCTTGAGAATTTATGCAATCTAATTACTCATGGCATTTATACAAATTACACATGAGTCAAGCAGAGCAGCAAGTAGAATGTTGCTAATTAAGGTTCTTGCTGTGTTTTTCCAGGTGGGTCATATAGGATGTCACATGCATCGCATAATGGAAAACTAAGGATATTCTTTTTTTTGTCATTCTTTCGTTCTACTTCTTTTTTTTTTATCTGTTTACCACTCACTCTACTATTTTCCCTCAAAAAACATTACATCCAATACCCATTTTCTATTTAAAACTATACAATCAACAACTACTTTCGCCTCAAAAATATCAAAATCAAAATTAAACACTCTAAAATGATTTCACTATTCATGTTAGTGGGGTGACAAGAAAAAAGGTGGGGAGAAAGAAATGAGATTCTGGGAGAATTTTCGGACAAGGTCTCATCAGAAACAAAATCACAATGGGATGCAGTCCTCAAAATTCAAGCAATGAGCATCACCTTAAAGGCTTAAACATTATAATGGGCAATGCAAGAAACCAAAAGGAGAAAGGGTCTGAATGGCCCCACGAGAAGCTCAATTGCATCATGAAGGTTTCTGGTTACTCAACCCCCCTTCCCCCCCCCCCCCCCCCCCCCCCCCCAAAAAAAAAAAAGAGGCCTTATAGGTTACCAAATCTTACTTGTGTAGATGAGATCATATGAACTTCATTTCCTGCATCATTAGTCCATATCAGAGTACTATTTGGCTCCAAATAGAAGTGCTCCTGACCCCCTATCTGCACCTTTCCTTCTACAATCTTATCGCATTGGTCAGACGAGAAGCAATGTTCAACATCCCCTTTTACAAGACATCTTTCAGTATTAGTATGGAAACTATTAGACTTGATAGCATCTTCAATGGATAAGACTGCTGGTAGTTCTTCATATTGAATGTTGACTTTTCGAGCAGCGAGCTTTGCATTTTCATGGGTATCAGCCACCACCACTCCAATAGCCTGAAAAATAATACTCTTTTGACTTAGCTAAATGTGAACGACAAACAGCAAGCAAGCAAATTGGAAACACATGTTTATGCAGCTGAATTTGTTAAATTATGAGTTCTATATGTCAAGCCAATCTTTTAAGGAGAATGTGACAAACTTGAAGCTTTTACATAGTCATAATCAAATATACCAGAATGGCTTGATTTTATGCCTTAGCATCAATTCCTTGGGTTCAGATATTGAATTTATCTTCAAGTTCTGTGGGATATAGTTTACACATCATACATGCCTCGCACAGATGCAGTCATCTGGATGAGAGTAATGAAAAGAATTCATGTTGTTCGAAAGCTTCCAGGAGTACCATTTCTGCTGTCAAAGGAATCTCCTTATACTTTGGAATAAAAAACAAGGAGATCAAAATAAAACTAAGAACCAGGTGCATATTCAACTTAAACCACAGACACAAATTAAGAATAAAACAAACCAGTGCGCATTCGAAAACTAATGGTAGTGAGTTCCCACGTTATCGAGAAAAATGAATAAGAAAAACCAGAGCATACCTGACCCACACATGTCACAATCTCAGAAGCAAAAAGTTCCTCGTCCAAAACAGCTGGCCCAATCATGTGTTCCCCTGGGATATCCTTGGAAAGGAAAATTCCTGCAACCCCGGGAGATGATCTTGCTGCATCATCATCCATCTTAAGTATACGAGCATGGGGTTTTTTGCTCAACACCAGTGCTGCATGTAAACAGTTAGGTGGCATGGGAACGTCATCTGTATACTCTGCCTCACCTGTAACCTACAATTAACAAAAATTCAGCCAATTCAACTCTAAGAAGATGGACACATAAATAAATGCTAACATCAATGTAATAAATCTAAATATGATCAATAGTTCTTTTAGTAACAAAAAAAACCAGCAGGAAAACTAAAATTAAACATTGCAGCAGGAAAGGGGCTTGGAATAACTAAGACATCAAATTTTGTAAGAATATCAAGTTGCACAAATAAAAATACTGGGGTTGTAAATTTGTTTGCTGACATCCCACCTGGAGTTTTGCTGAGAGATGCATTTCAGGAACTCCAACAGCACTACCACGCTTTACAATATCATAATCCTGAGTTCCCATTTCGACCTGGAAACACACCAGTAAAAGGAGTATAAATAATTGTGATGACTACTCAGGGTCTACAACCACAAAATTGTTATATCTGATCGCTTTCCTATAAAATCCTACTCACTGACTTTCGAATAAAATTCCCTGTGAATTTGTATAGAAATTACTGTAACAAATTTTAGCAATCAATAGTATTACAAAATTGGGTTTCAACAAATGAGACAATTTTGAAATACCGAAAAGACCTCAGATTTGGAACGAAGAAAATAAATCCAAGTAAAACGACTGTAGTCATCAATAAAAGTCACAAAATACTTATAGTGAGCATTAGAAATAACAGGTGTAATCCCCCATACATCACTATGAATTACATCAAAGCAGTTATTTGCATGACCAACAACCGTAGGAAAAGGAACAACTTTACTTTTTCCTAATTTACAAGCTGAACAATCACGAGAATGACTGGAGAGTTCAACAAATGAGACAAAACAAATGAGTTAGGATGTCCTAAACGCTTATGCCACACATTACTTTTATTAGGAACAACAGAACATGCCAAGAAAACACTACAAGGGATAGGGATATGGAGAGGAAACATGCGTCCCACTTTAGGCCCCTTTGTGATCATTGTTCCCGACATCTGATCCTGCACACAACAACCATTTCGAGAAAAGTGCACATCATAGTTGTTTTCGACCAATTTCCTAACAGAAAGTAGATTATTAGAAAGTTCAAATGAAAGAAAGGCATTTTTGAAAATGGGAGTAACATCACCAACACCATTGATGGATAAATTGGTGGCTTATGTGAGGAGACGTCGCTCCTCGCGAAGCAATTCACCAAAAAGTTCATCCAACGTAGGAGGAGGATGACAAAGCATAAGATTAGACCGAGCATTCTCAAAGTCAGATCTCAATTTCATCAGAAATTGATCTCGCTTGCTAATTGCATGAACCACCAATACATCAGAAAGTGCCTCTTTGGAGACAGCAGCACAAATATTTTCCGACTGTTCACACCATAAGATTTGAAAACCTAAAAAATACTCCTGAATAGACAGACTGCCTTCAGTGTAATTTGTAATCTCATATTCCAAATGAAATCTTCTTGCTGAATCCCATTGACAATAAACTTTCTTGAAATATGCCCACATTTCTTTAGCAGTTTTATATGGACGCAAATCAGGTATGATTTGAGAATCGCAAGAACTTATAAGCCAATACATTACCCGTGCATCCTCGACCGTCCATTGAGCCATTCTAGTGGCATCGTTAGGTGGTGGAGTAGTCCCATCAATATGTCCCTATAGCCCTTGTCCAGTAACATACAACTGGAATTGGAATTCCCATGTTGAATAATTTTTTCCCGTAAACTTGACACAAAATTCAGAATCTGATTTTATGATAGCCAGGTGTAATCCAAAAAAAAAATCCAAAAAAATACCAAAATATTTCTCAACGAAAGGAACAATTAGATTTCTCAATAATAAAATCAACCAAAACTATGACAATTCTAAACCAAGAGCTCTGATACCATGACAAATTTGTTTCATTCCCAAAACTTGATGATCTTCTTTGATTACAATACAAAGTATATATAGGATTAAGGACTGATCTATATGCTAACTACCCTTATGAAATGCTAAATTATAGATAATTTACAGTTGATGAGACTAATTTATAGGTTAACTTCATGGCTAGACAATCTAATTATAACTAATATGCTATTTACAATTAATGAGAGGATAGGCTAATTACAATCTATTGGCTAAATTAACATATACTAACATTTAGATCCGAAGTGGGTCAACAAATCATCTCAGTTTATTATAATCTCTCAAATGGAAGTGACAACAACTTGCACACCGCGCTTGGAAATATAGTGTTTGTTTTAAACAATCCGATGTGCACTTGCAAGTACTCCAGTAACACCCTGGTCAGCTCAAGCCAGAGTATCACCTCCACGACATACCAGAATGCTCATTCATTAACCAATAAACCTCACGTTATAACGCTAAGGCTAAAATACCCAACACAACTGATTCAGATATTTTTAATCGATTTTTAACTCATAATTGTGATAAGGGAGGATTAAAGTGAGAGATCATAGAGTTAGAGAGAGTTCGGACGTAAATATTTTTCATTTATTGAGTAATATATTAGATGTGACATTTAGAGTTCATCAAGAACTTGGGATTATAGTTGATCTTTTAGTTGTTCTTGAGAGTGAATTTGGCATTGGATTAAATGAGATTGGAGATCAAGTTCAAGACTTCCAAATTACAAATCATACGATCGAGACAAAAATCAGATGGTGCAGCATTGAGAAGTTTCCTTGCAAGAAACGAACCCGAACAACCACAGAGACATAGGTATATATGGGTGGGGTTGTGAGTCTTACGCCAAGTGATCGCGAAAGGATTTGAGTTAGATTTCAGAATGAAATTTATGTCCTGTTTGTGTTTTCAATTGGGATAGTAAATTCGGCCTAGATTAGTACCCTCAGAGTAGGAACTACCAACAACATGCACATCACGGCTTGAAATTAAATTGTTCGTTCGGAACAATACGTTGTGCAAGTGCAAGTACTCCAATTATACCCCAAACAATATGAAATTCAACAATTAACAAAGCAAAAACCTACATGGTGTGGGAGATATATATGCTAAGTTGATTTATGTTTTTATCCTTGTTTTGTTCTATTCATCAAACAATATATATATTGTTAAGTACAAAAAAATGAAGTTAGAGTTTAAGCCCAGGAAAGATGAATGGATGGCCTAGTGGCGATCCAATGGAGGGCCAAAGTCATTCAGTTGGATGATTGTTGGGACCAGGCCGGTCGCTTCTACATACAGTTTCCATCCAAGTTTGAGCCTTGAGACGACTACAAAGGTAACCGGCGTAGAAGTGGTTTTTCGAACTCTTCAGATCAGTAACCGACGAGGAAACGATTCCAGACATTTCAGATCGATAATTGACGAAGAAACGGTTTCGGAGAGTTCAAATCGATAACCGATGAGGAAGCAGCTTCGGACGGTTCAAAGGTAACTGACGTGGAAACGGTCTTTGATGGTTACCGACGTGAAAACAATTTTTTTACGATTACCGACGTTTAAGCGATTTCGGACGGTTTGATTTGATACGTATGTGAGCATCCTCATCGAAGAGATGGACATCTTCAATAAGACAAAATTCCAAGAGAATCTCATTGGGATCATCATTTTAGTTTTTCAGTTATCCTTTTCAGTCTTCTTTTTTCCTCATTGTTTATCGCTTGAAAATTTATAGTTCCAAGATTTATTGTTCAAAGTTCGAAATATATTTTCGGATTTTACTTTATTTTGTTGGATTTCTCAAGTCAACAAATTGGCGACCACAATGGGAGAAATGCAAAATTGTTGATCCTACGTAATAGAATTTCATACAACTTCGATCTGGTCGAGTCATTGCAAGAAATCTCATGGCAGGTTTTCAATCTCAAAGCCTCAGCACAGCTATCGGGGCCATCACGGAAATTCCACCATCAATCCGCACTATGGGGATCGTCTCACAAATACCATATGAATGGTTAAATCATGTTCAACAAATGAACAATCAGCAAACAACAACCGTGCAGTTAATGTTGCACGAGCAACAAAACTTGATACTAAAAATGTTAGATCAAGCCCTGTCGAGAGTTACACTTCACTTCACGCTTTCACCTCCAGGAATATCTCCGTCGCGCCTTTAGACAAACTTTGCAGGGCCATCGTTCGTGGATAACACCATTCCAAGGGCTACCGCCCCTAGTAGGGGAGAGAGGGAAAACTCCCCTCACTTTTCCAAATAATATCCCTCTGGGGATTCATCCTGAGTCGTTTCAACATAGGGATGACCGACCTGAGCAGAGGGATGACCGACCTGGAGATCATCCTCATGATTTCATTTCAGTTTCGGATCATTATCCGGTCGGATAGGACCCAGACGTCGTCGCACACGTTCTGAGAGTCCATTTTGATATGACTCCACAGGTTATCAATCGGTCCGCATACCAATGACCATTCCCTGAGATCATTAATGAACATTCTCTTCCCAGGAATTATCGACCATCCGACTTTCACGCATTCTCGGGAGAGGACGGGTCTTCTACTATTAAGGAGCTTCAACCAGAAAAGCCGACCTGGCAGGAGCCTATTTTGGAGGAGTCCGTTTTGGCTAACTTAGCCAATAATTCTTTTGAGGAACTCGAATGGACCCGGATCCATCAACAGATGGTCCCCCACCAATGGTTTTCTCTCAACTCCCTGAACGAACGGTGCCTCATCTGAAACCTCTTTATGTCGATGCTCATATCTGTGATGCATATACCACGTATTCGGTGCTGCTAGGAAGAGATTGGATTCATACGTCCCAATTTGTGCCATTATCTCTGCATCAACAACTGATGTTCTGGGAAGGTAATCAAGTTTTCAAAATAGAAGCCTATATTGACGACATGATCTTTAAGTCGGCTGACTTTGAAAGTCATTTGAAAGATCGGAGGCTAAGACGGGCCGACCGCTTGGATCACTGGAAGGTCGGCTTGAAGTAAGGTGATCTGTTCCATCAATCAGTGCAAAACTGGAGTAGCCGCCGACTCGGTGGGGTGCTGAATCAGAAAAATAATCGTGACTTGAGCCAGAGCTTGAAGATCTTCAGGCTTCAAGTTAGCAAAGGGCAGTGTTTCATATCGGGCCATGACCGATCGGACGGTTGCTGGAACTGGAACTCGGGAGATGAAGGAGAGATCGAGATTGTGCTGCCAAATGGAAATGCTGATTTAAAATTCGGAATATCAACAAGAAATTGGAGAAGTATGCGGAGTTGTCTACCTAACCTTGTACGGTGGTCGCCTCGGAAAGACCCAACACAGAGGGAAGTTGGTTGGCCTCATATGGGAAGGGTTGGAGACAGCCGTCCAGCGGGAAGTCGGTTGGCCTCAGGATATGTCTACCAAACTTCTCTCCAGTGGGAAGTCGGTTGGCCTCAGGGAGTCGGCCACTAGAGGGTCAGCCGCTGGTTGGCCGGCTTTGGAAGGGTCAGCCACCGGGACCCAAATACGGGAGCCTAACCGCTGGAGGATTTGTGGCCGGAGAGTCAGTTGGTGGTTGCTCAAAAGAAGTCGGTAGTGTGGTCGAGCAAGAGAGCCAGGAATACCTTGTCGGTAACCGAATTGACGCTCGAGAACATGGAGTTTATAGTTGAAGACTCCCAATGGTTGTTGCAGACTCCCAACCACACTTCTTACGCCGATCGAGAGTGGCGTTTGGGAGTCAGAGGAGGAAGATGTAAGTTGTTGAGCACAACAAAATGAGGTTAGAGTATAAGCCCAGGAAGAATGAATGGATGAGCCTAGCGGCAATCTAGTGGAGCGCCAGAATTATTCGGTCAGATAGTTGTTGGAGCCATGCTGGTCGAATGGTTGCCCCGACAGACGATTTTCATCCGAGTTTGGGCCTTGGGACGGCTATAAAGATAACCGACGTGGAAGCGTTTTTTCGGACGATTCAGATCGGTGACCGACGAGGAAACGATTTCGAAAAGTTCAGATCGGTAACCGACGAGGAAGCAGCTTCAGACGGTTCAATGGTAACCGACGTGAAAGCGGTTTTTGACGGTTACCGACGTAGAAATAGCTTTTTTACGGCTATCGACGTGGAAACAATTTTTTAGGCCGTCCAAGGGTAACCGACATGGAAGCGATTTCGGACAATTTGATTTGATACGTATATAAGCATCTTCAACGATGGAGATGAGCATCTTCAATTAGAAAAAATTCCAAGAAAATCTCATTTGGATCATCATTTTACTTTTCCAATTTTTCTTTTTCCTCTTTGTTTATCACTTAGGAATTTATAGTTTCAAACTCTACTATTCAAATTCAAAATATATTTTTGAATTTTACTTTGTTTTGTTGGATTTCTCAAGCCACTATATATATATATATTGAAAAAAAGAAATTCATCCAACAAGTTTTTTTCCGGTGTGTTCGTTTGGAGAATTTCTCCAAAATTCTATTATTCATTAAATTTTTTCCCTCCAAAATTATCAAATCGAACCCCTATTTTTCATTTTTATATTATACTAAAAATTAATTTTACATTTAAAATATCACATCAACACCTATTTATATCACATCATACAACTATTACAATTCAAAATTTTTACTATTCAAATCCCAACTAAAAATTCAAACCCTCAAACAATAACACCCTTATAATATTAAAAAGAAAAGAACAAATATATATATATATATATATATATCTAAAACATTACATCCAAGTGCCCGTTATATCACATCAAATACATATTTTTCATTTAAACTTTTACCATTACTAAAATAATCTAAAACAACAAATACTTTCGAAACATATCTTAAAAGCAGCCAGAGTTCTTAATGGCTTACATACATTCAAGTACCTATAAACCAAACTACATGATAGTAGATGCTTACAGTCACCCCTAAGCAGCAAATAGTAGACTAAATGATTTGTGTTAAATTAAAGTTTGATGTTTAGTCGTAGACCTAAATTATGCAATAGAAATAAAAGGAATAAAATATTTTAAATAGTCTTTTTTCTATTTATTTTTGTAATTTTTTTGTAAAAATCAATAATTATTGTCCCGTAGACAGCCCTTTTCCTCCCGCCCTCCGATAACCTCCAACCATATTATTTCAACTAGGGTTGGACAAAAACATCGAACTGAACTGTTGAGTCAAATTTTCGGTTAACTGAGCAAATTTGATTTAATATAAATACCGATAAATACTATATATTTGATATTTGTTCAGTTCGATTTCGATTTTTTATAGTTTTTTTATTCAGTTAACTGAACCGAATATATTTATACATTTATATTATTATATTTTAAATTTTATATTAATATTATATTTGATTTGAATATTTGAAATATTTGAAAATAGTTTTATTTAATTAATTTTTTTTAATTACGATTCAGTTCGAATTATTTACAAATATTTTCGATTAATCTCGATATGGTTCACAACTTGTTCAATTCTATTCGGATATCAAATATCTCCCATTTGCAAATAACCAAGAAGGTGGTTGAGAAAGAGTTGTTTGACCAATTAAAAAGCTAATTTAAATTCTGAAAAGCTCATCCACAAAGAATTTTTTTCATTTTAATTTTTTTCATTCCTTATTTATCCTTAAAATTTAATTATTTATTTTATATATAAAAATATATTTTTATAGTCGTATTTATTAATTATTTTTGATATATTTAATTTATTAAATTATATTTTTATTTTTGTAAATTTAAAATAATAATTATTATTAATTATTACATATAAATTATTTTATTTCTAAAATATATAAAATTTTAAAACTAAATCAAATAGAAAAAATAAAGGTTATTAATTTATTTATATATATTAAAATAATAATTAATATAATAAAAATATATCTACGAAAAATTTATTATTTTATATTTTACATAATTTCAGTAAAAAATTATTAACTTTTAGTAAAAATATTTTTCTCAGATTTAAATTAAAAAAATTAAAAAAAATTTATAATATTTTTATAATTTTTAATAATTAATAACAAAAACTCTTATAAATTTCAAATCAAAGTAAACAAAATTAAATATTTTAAAAAATAACATATCAATATATTTAATAGTCATTTTATTTATAAACAGCTAATGTCAAACAGTTATTTTACCAAACATTTGAATACAAATCGTTAATTGAATCAACTAGTCAAACTAGCTAATTGAATTAGTTATAGCTAATTAATTGCCAAAAGCACCCCAAGTGTTTTATTATTTTTATTTTAATTTAAAAATTATTTTATATTAAAATTATACTTTAATCCTTAAACTGCACTTTAATTCATAATTAATCAATATAATTAAAAATTAAAACAACCTACAATAATATAAATAAATACACAACGACTTGTCCAGTAAGGGATAACCTGGTTAGATTTGTAATAGTGAGGTTATGGGTAATGAATTTGTAATAAATAAATATATTTTTTTATTTATTTGTACTATAAAAAATTTTATTCTATACAGAATAATATTTATATTAATATATTTTTGTATGCTATATAATTTTAAATATATTTAAATACATATTCTATTTTTTTAATTACGTATATAAACTACCAATATTATTTATTATATAAAAATAATAAAATAATATTATAATCACTATTATTAACTAATTAAATATCGTTGTCTTATATACGTTATTCAAATCTATTCTTATTTTTCTTTTTTGGTTGTCGTCAAAATCTATTCTCATTTACTTTTTTTAGCGTTGATATTTGAAGTTAATTATTATATGTAAACGTAAGTACAAATAACTAAAAATAGCAAAAATACTTCTATTAGTCTTATAATAGTCAAATCAATGCCAAGATAAATAATATTCCCCCGTCCCAATAGAATAGTCTTGTTTACCATTTTTGTTCGTTCCAAAATAATACTCTCATTTTCATAAATAATCATACTATTATAAAACTACCCCTACTTTTTCATTATTATTACACAATTGTCACTACTTGTTACACTAAGAGTGCCTTTGTTTAGGGGATTCTTAGATTTATACTATTCATCTCATTTTTTCCCAAAAAAAAAAAATCAAATCAAACACCTATTTTTTATTTTTTATATTATATTAAAAACCAATTTTACATTAAAAACATCACATCATACAACTATTCAAATTCAAAATTTTTACTATTCAAATCCCAACTTAAAATCCAAACCCCCAAACAAACACACCCTAATATACTCACAAGGATAAAAAAGTCATTTATCCTTATTTTTTTACCAACTACTAATATAATATCAATATTTCTGCCCAACTAATCTAGTCTTGCTGTTATGTGTCATACCTCTGAGATACTGTAGAAGGGTGAGATGGGCAAATCCGTGGGGCAAAATTCGACGGACGCCATTAACATACAGAATCGCTTCCCTTGGCTTCGATTCCTCTACTCTCTTCATCTCCATCAAGTGAACTGACTCTCTGTACCAAAACCCCAATTCAGAATCGTCCCCAAACCCTACATTATCCCTGAAATCAAATCAGAAATCTTCTGCTCAGAATTTGGCATCACCCTCTGCCAAATTCACAATTCTTAGAAAATTCAAAATAAAAAATTCTCAGACTTGTTAAATTGGGGGAGATGAGAAAAAACAAAGAAGGTAGCATACGACAATCCTCACTGAATTAAATTTGGATTGTGGAAGCTCCTATCCCAACTTCCCGCCTATCCGGTCTCCTCCAATAGCGGTCTGACACGTGGCAATGCAGATTTATTTTTACTTTTTACTTTTTATTTTAACCTGACCTCTTGGGTATCCATCCTCTTGTGTACGTTTTGAGATTTGTGAATATTTTATTTTCTATTTTTTAAAAATCCAGCCTAATGATATTCTCTGGTACCAATGCAGATATAAAGCATTTTTCTCCTTCTTTAGATCGTGATAAATGACCTATTGTTCGGCATTTGCATTTTCTCTATTACAGGGTGTGTTTATTTGGGTGATTAGATTTTGAGTTGGAATTTGAATAGTAAAAATTTTGAATTTAAATAGTTGTATGATATGATATAAATATGTGTTGATGTGATATTTTGAATGTAAAATTAATTTTTAGTATAATATAAAAAATAAAAAATAAATGCTTGATTTGATATTTTTGAGAAAAAAATGAGATGAATAGTGTATTTGGGGAGAATCCCGAAACAAACACTTTTATGACTTTGGCTCTAATACAACTGATAAAAAAAATGAAAAAAATGAAGGAAAAAAAAAACATTTAATGATAATTTCTTTTATCACCAAGTGCATACCAAAACAATTTACAATTTAAAAGGATAAAAAAGAACATAAATAAAGAATCTCTAAAATAGTGTCATAATATACGTTTCTAATTAAAACCAATTATTTGATTCAATCAACTATGTTTATCCACTAAACTCAAACAAGAAAATAGTGAGAATTATTTTTAACAATTATATTATAATTGGTTTGGTTTGGTTTGGTTTGGTTTGATTTGATTTGGTTCAATTTGATTCAATTTGAAATATTTGAAAATATTAATTTTAGTTAAATGAAAATTAATGTATTCATTTTTTTTTATTCAATTTAATTCAAATTATTTATAAATATTGCATGCAGGATTTAGTCAGATGCGGGTCTACAGTAGGGCAAGAGCCCCATCACCCCACCCCATTTTTTTTTATTAAATATATGTATATATAATATTAAAATGGATAGAAAATTAAAAAAATACTGAAAATTAAAATTTGTCATATTTTAATTTTAAATCAAAATTATTAATATTTAATTTGTACGATTTTTAATAAAAATATATATATATTTTTTAAATATCATGTTAAAATATTATTTACATAAAATTAATAAAGATAATATATAAATTCAAATTAAAACCAAACAAATCTTTAATTGTGAGAATCAAATAATTTTAATGACTTTTTTATTAAAAGTAATTTTTTTAAAAAATAAATATATTATTTGTTAATTTTAAACAATATAAAAAAATACATATCTACAATATGTAATTATTACTATTTTTTAATATTTTTAAAAATTTTAACAAAAATATATTGTGCATATCATATTACAATTTTTTGTGTAATGATTAACTCTAATTAACATCATATCTAGCATAAATTTTAAAATATAACAACTCGAAGTATAATTACCCGAAAATAAATAAATATATATATGTTTTTATATGTATAAATTAAATATAACTATATTATTTTCGATTTTAAAAAATTAGCTCCCTGGCTAAGTTTTGGTTTCGCCCCTGCTTTAAGTTAATCAAAGTTTTTTGTTTGAATATAGTTCACAATTTGGAGTATTTGTTTGATTCAGTTCAAATATCAAATACTTGTATTTTGCAAATAATCAAGGTGAGCACCACTCCTACTTGCTATAATATGAAAACTTAATACACAAATTTGTTCACTCATCATTTTTTTTTATAGATTAATTGATTTTTTGTGTGTGATACGATGAACTATATTGGTAATATAAAAAATAATATTTTGTGTTAAATAACTGACTTTTTATGAGTAAATAATAGGAATATATATTATATTAATGTATGTATACTTGTATTTTTTTAATAATATTTATTAAAAATTGTTCCACTAAGATATGCTGAGTGAATAGACTGACTGTATTGTTTAGATAGTTCCTTTTTTTTTTTTTTTTTTTTGAGATAAGAGTTTTTGGTACTTTGGAATTTTGTAAAATTTTAGAAATATTATACTTCTTGGATTTGGATTTTTAAAGTGTTTTACTATTATTGTTATTTTTTATAGAAAAATACTGAATTAAATATTTATTTATTTTATTATTATACTTAAAAGTTCAAAACATTATATTTATATCTATTTGTTGTACACATATCATAATGGTGTACACAACGTGAATGCTTACGTCGACATTATGTGTTCGATTTACAATCATAAATGTATATGTGTGCTTGCCTATATATAAGTGAATGAGATCAATTGAAATTCACGCCCATCAATCACATCTCTATCTCCCGGTTGCTTGCTTCTCATATACACACTCCCACTTAATATATAAATTATAATATACAAAAGATACATATCATATACACATATATAAATATTACATACATCCTGCCCCACTAACATATATATACATATTTATATACACAATATTATATTATATATAATATATATAATAGTGGTTAACGGTAGAAATATTGGCTAATCCTATAATAATATCATAACACTATTTATATTATATTAGATAATTATTTTATTTCAAAATTTTACTAATTCAAAATTCATGTTACAAACAAACACATCCTAAAAAGTTATTTTTTATACTCTCTCTGTCCACCGCCAATCTATCCATTTTGTCATTTTAGTCTATCCATCGCAAATGTATCTATTTCTTTTTTTTTTTTAGTAAATATACTTTCAACTAAAATATAAAATTACCTCACCATTTATATAATATTATACAAATGCCATCAAATAACACCTCTTAATATCATAAATATTAAAAGGTAAAATAGTCTTTATGTATATCAATTGTACCACATATCAATATAATACTAATATACTAAAATTTACGTGCAAAAAGTAAATGGATAGATAGGCGATGGACGGATGGAGTATAAGCTTTTCTTTGTCCGGATACTTAAGTGTCTTGATAATTTTAATATAGTCTATTTATAATAAATAATTTTATTACCATTATTTTACTCCCCCATAAAAAAATATATTCTTTTCGGAAACACAAAATTTAAATAGTAAAATTTGAGAAACTTTGCCTAAATAAACATACCCCTTGACTTTTGAGATTTTTTTAGTAAATTAAAAATAATACTAATATTATATTAGTCAGTGAAAATGTACAAGATAATTTTGATATTTTTCTATTTGTACTTTATATAAAAAATAATTTTATGTGTATAAGATAATTTTAATATCAATGTATGATTACTTTAAAATAAAATTAAAAAGTATTTTGATATCAGTGTGTAATTATTATATAGATAGTATACTGCTTTCTTTAGAATAAAGATTACCATGTTTATTTTCCATTCGATTGATTCACATACATCCATGTTCATATTCGAGTTGCTTAAATTAGATTATTGATGAAACTATGGAATGACGAGAGAATGATTAACAACCTATGACTGCGTTACATTGTTAATAAAGAATATATAGTTCGTAGCATCTAAATACGTGAGATCCTTGTCGATATACTTTTCTTGTAATTTAAATTTAATTGTGATTAAATAAAGGTATCAATGAGTAAAACAACTAATAAAACAGTGTCAAGTAATAATTAATTAGACATAATGTTCTTAATTGTGGATTTAAGGTTCGTTGAAACTCTTAAAGTCACGTACCAATCAAGTGAAAAATCAAATTTAAATGAACCAGTATGATCACCATCAATCTCCGGCCCATTTTCACCATTATATATATGTGTAATTTTTTCTATTACCCGTTTTCACCATTATATATATATATATGTATTTTTTTCCTATTGCTTCATTGTTATCCCACTCATTTCCTCATCCAAGGTAATCTAATCATTTTTTTTTTATTTTTTAGATGACATGGGAAGGTAATCTAATCATTTAGTAACATAACATATATCACACATAAACACTTTATCTCATTCTCCCTATCAGATATATTTTTGCTCACAATTACACTATCACATTCAATCAAATTTTGCGGACATTTCCCCATACATGGATTATTTTTTCGCTCACCTCCGATTCTCACTAGACTCACTACCGAGCCATGGACTGTAGGCTAAATTTTTAATATTGAAGCACAAATAAATCATACAATATATTTTACCAATGTAATACATGGGTAAATATGAATCTATTGACATAAAACATGCATGTAAGCTAAAGTTTTAATTCAATTAGACTTATTTAATTATATGATAAAACTATCAACTACGTTTCTTTTTCTAATCCCTATGAATAAATTAGAAATATAGTTGATATAATATCCTAATTAGCCGTACAAATATAAAAAAAAATTATGTGGATAAATTTCATTATATCACGTATGAGTAATTGTTATTTACTGTATGTGATTGTAAAAATATGAAATGTAATTTCAATTAATCAGAAAAATTGTGACTATTTCAAGATTAATTAAAACCACAATAATCACATAATATTGCAAGAAATTCGATCTCATAATAATTTTCAACATCAATTTTATAAAAATATCTCAAACCAAAGAAATCCGTCAAAAAAAAATTAGAACATCAAGACAAAGGTAAAAACAAGCTCTGATACCAAATGTAAGCATAATAATCGATTCAATTGGAATAAAACTCAAAGAAACGAAACTAAAATGAACCCCGAGAACATACCTCCAGCCATTGGTGTCAAACTCGAATGCAATATGTTTTTGTTCTTCTAAACACTTACACTATTTTCTAGATGGTGTAAAAGTCTTTGTATAGTGATGCTTAGGGGACTAAAAACTTTAAAATTCATGTCTCAATTACTTTCTTTCATCAAAGAAGTAACCGACATGAAGAGTGGGGAGTGAGGAGGATAGTGGAGACCTTTCACATGAACCACATTAGCACTTAGTAATGAAGTAGTGGAGTAATGGAGATTTTTCACATATATCACTACTTCACATAGACCATAAAACATTAACATCAGAATATGGCCGAAGAAAATTTGAACCGATAAAGTTTGATTTTAGTTATATTATGTGGCAATTCTAGTTCAATAAAAATTGCCAATTTGAAAACTGGCGAACTATTGGTTTGGTTCTAAATCAAATGAACAAGTTCAATCTTAGATGAAAGTTAATGTGTTGATTGAGTCAAATAAGCACGTTGTTGGTTTGATTCAACCAGGATAACAGATCAACCTAGATAGCATACAATCCTATATAGCACAACACATGATATGCTATATAAAAGTAGAAGCATGTGTTGTGTATTTTATATTTTTTTACCGTATTGTATATATAAATTTGTTGTGCTGAAAAATAATAATTCTTCCGTCTCAAAACTATAGTTTGAGTTGTGTTTGACACTATTTAAAAAATATTGATATTATATTAGTAGTGGGTAAAAAGTACATGTAAAAGACTTTTTTGCCCTTGTTAGTGTATTAGTGTAAAAAGTAATGACAATTGTGTAATAATAATAAAAAAGTAAGGATAGTTTTATAGTAATACGGTTATTTATGAAAATGAGACTATTGTTTTGGGACGGACAAAAATGGTAAATAAGACTATTGTATTGGAACGGAGGGAGTAATATGTTTTATTAACTATTATATTATCATATGTTGACAGAATATATAATATACATTATATTATCTTGTTATATTTATGTTATCTATTTTATATATAGATGTACTGACTTGATGAAATCAATACTATATTGATTTGACTAGTTTAGCATGAAATCCAAAGCGCTATTCTTAATAATAATCACAATTATTAACTCAAATCCCTTATGTAAATCCAAAGCAAAGAAATTCATTATATATACTACATTTGTCTCATAATAAGAGTATCATAGGTTTTTTTATGTGTTATCTTTAAATATTAATTATTATATCAATACGTAGTACAAATAAAAAGAAAAATACAAAAATACTTCTATTAGTCTTTTACAATACAAATACAATAACATTTTGAGAATAAATTATACAAATATAAAAATATTTTTAATATTAAATATAATAACGCAAAAGACAAATAATGTTCTTTATATAAGACGAATGTAGTATATATATTAAACAATAATTGAATATAAATAATATAAAATAATATAATTTTATAATAAATCATACATATTAGTTTGTAAAAGAATGGTTGAATATAAATATTTTGCACAGTGTTAACACATTCAAAATATTTGGCTAGACAACACATATCATAAGTCCCTAACATATAGTACGTAGTTTACAATAATACATGTAAATACAACAAATGAAGTAGTAATATCCGACAATAGTCTATACAATCTATAATACTAATGTGTTATTTGTCTATCTTTTATGTATTAATTAGCATGATACTGATTAATCCTAATTATTTTTAGACAAAATAATACAGATGCATTTTTTTTATTCAAATCATAATTTTCAATAAAATATACTCCATTCGTCTGACTCTAATGGTCACATTTACCTAATGTTCTTTTATTAGCATTATAATACATTAACCGAAGTATTTTTGCGATTTTTTCTAATTTATACTACGTTTTGATATAATGATTAATATTTAAAGATCAACACGTAAAAAGTAAATGAGATTTTTAGAGAATGTAGTATATTTTTAAAAACATTTACACCAAATATTATTTAAATAATACTACCTCCGGTTATAAGGATTTCATTTATTATTAATTTTTTTTTTGCGTGTTGATATTTGAATATTAATTATTATATTAAAATATAGTAAAAAAAGGAAAAAGGAAAAATACTTCTATCAGTATCTTAAAATATTATTATAATGATATTTGTGTAAAAAATTATACAAATATAAAAATATTTTTAATATTAAGTACAATGACATGAAACCCTTGCATAGAGTAATAATAATCATAATAATAAAGCGAACACACAACTAAATCACACGTTGCTAGAGCCTAGAACTGTACCCTTATCGGCTTGCAATTCAAAGATCAACACCATCATCGATCAATCATTTATTACAATATACAAAAAAAATTTTAAGAGTCAAGATTCCAATCGAACAGCGTAATAACATTAATAATATTATGAATAGAATCGTTGCAATTTTTGCTTATCATTCTCATGATCTCTTCAATCCCAAAATGATGAGAAGAATTCCCAGATAATCAAATCTGTAAGCAGATCTAAAGAGCTGCAACTTATGCTCATTCCATGGAGGATATCTGAACCAGAAATCCACAATATATGATCTTCTTGCAATCGCCTTTTCATGAGAAAATGCATCGAATGAATACTTCCCATGGTACCTTCCAAATCCACACTCCCCAACTCCCCCAAACGGCAGAGTATCTGCTACATACTGTCGACAAAAAATCCCATCGATAAGTCGTCGAAAAATACCGATTCTTCTTTTTTTCTTGACGAAAAATTATCGATGAATTTTTAATCAAGCCTTACTTGAATTATCGCGTCGTTAAAAACAATGCTGCCCGAAGAAGTCCCCGACTGCAGCTTCTTCTTAAACTCTTCGTTCTTCGTGAACGCGTATATCGCAAGCGCTCGAGGCATCGATTTGATGAATTCTACGCTGTCTTCGATCTTCTCCAGCTGCCAAATCCGAGAAAACATTGCGATAATTTAAGGGAAAAAAAAATTACTATTAGAAATTTTTGTCGATTACTGTGATGATTGGAAGCAGGGGGCCGAAGATTTCCTCTGTCATGACCCCCGAATTAATCGGAGGATCCAACAGCAATGTCGGTTCGATGTAGCTGCAAAAACAACACTTTATGTGTAATTAATTCGGAGAATTTAGCCGAAAGGGCAATGTCGTGTAAGGGATTGTGTATATGTACAGATTATCTTCGTCGAGTGATCCGCCGTAAACAAGAGCGTTTTTAACCGTTGGATTGTCTAAAAGATTCGACAGCCGCGAAAAATGTCGCTGGTTTACTATTCTTGATATGTTATTCGACTCCCTTGGATTTTCGCCGAACATACTCTTTATGCCATTCTTTAGTAGTTCCACCTGAATAATAGATGCGATTTCGATCAAATTAATGACATTTGCACAAATTAATCGATAAATTTTCGATATCTATAGATTCATTCTTGTACCGTATTGAAAAATTCCCTACAACAATTATACCATCTCAAAAATTTCGCTATGCCGAACATAAAACCTACCAAAAATTTATGTATAATGATTAATTTTCGTTCATTTGCCACTGTTCATTTTTTAAAAAATATAACATTAAATACTATTTTTCGTAATTAGATATCAAATCAAATACTAATTTTTTATTTTTTCAAAATTTTAAAATTTCGAAAGCCTCTAAAAACTTCTATTGAACAGAGTCGCATCAATATTTTTTGGTGGTTTCTTTATACCAAAAGCATAAAATCATACGGTATATTGTGCCAAAAATTATATATATATATATAAATTCATAATAATACTGTACCAAATTTTTTTAATAAAAATCGATATAGCTATATATTTTCGAATTTTACTTTTCATACCAAAGTGGATGAAAATTTTTTCTCGACGAGTATATAATCGATGGCGATGCAAGCTTGGCCGGCGCAGGTGCCGAACTTGGCAGATAGTATCCGTTTCAAAGCAACCTGAGATCCAACCAAAGATCGATGTCAGAAGACAGACAGCCGCCGGCGCGCAGTCAATCGGATTCAAATTCCTCCATCATACTATCCGAATGGATCATATATACGAGATCGATCACCTGCTGGTCCCAAGAGCTGGTAAGACAATCCACAACCGCGGGGCATTTGCCGCCGAGCTCCAACGCGACGGGGGTCAGATTCTTGGCGGCTGCCGTCATCACTTTCCGGGCCACATTCGGGCTACCTTTTATCGAACGCCGCCACCGTCAGTTATTATTTATTAAATACATATATATATATATACACGAGAAGATTACGGTGCTGAATTTGAAAAATCAATACTGTGCTAATTTTATTATACAGAAATTAGCATATGTATCAAATCACTGAATCAGCACATGTAAAATACAGAAACACATCACGTGTTTTTATTACAAATAACACATGTTATATGTAACAAAGACATGTGCTGCTTGTTCATAATTATATGAGAGTATATTATGTGCTATGTTCTGTGTAAGATTATATCATTCGCGATTAAATTATGTGCTCTGTTTGTATTATATTTAGGGATGACATACCTCACTGTACCGAAAACACTGATCGATATCGATACCGTACCAAACTTTCCGAAAATTCATACCGACGATATCCATATCATACCAAAATTTTTGGTATTTTCAACACGATACGGTACGATAAGTTGGTATTTTGGTATGTACGGTAAATTTCTCCTCGATATCCAATTTTTCATTTTGGTCTGTCCAGTTTTTTAAGTAACTGAGTCTACCTAACATTACAAATACTGTTTAGTCTTTTTACCTTTATATCTACTACATAGTTCCATGCAAAGTAAATAGATAGATATGAGACGGAGTGAGTATTAACAATTTAACTTATAATGCGTGCTGTCTATGGTAACTCCCTGTGCTCTGTCCGGTCAGCATTGTAGCCGTTCCCATATATATATTAATCTAGGAAGATGCTAACAGAGATAGATAAACCTGTGAAGAATATCTTATCCCATTGCTGCTGCAAGAGAATCTCGCCGGCGGAGACACCTCCTTCGACGACTCTGACGGCCGTGGAATCCAAGTAAGAAGGGATCAGCCTCGCCAGAACCGCCGACGACGCCGGCGCAAGCTCCGACGGCTTTAGAACCGCCGCATTCCCCGCCGCGATCGCCCCGATTAGGGATTCCACCGACAGCCCTGAAGAAAATCAATCAAGACATTATTAATCAACTAATTAATTCACAGGCCCTGAAGAAGAAATTAATTATTAAGACAACTACCAAAAGGAAAATTCCAGGAGGATATGATGAGGACAACTCCAAGTGGCTCAGGAACTAAGGATGCACTTGCCGGGAATGCAGCAAGTGGCAAATCCGCCTGTCGGAGGAACAATTTCGTGATGTTGGAAGAAGACACAGATTTGAGAAAAAAAAAAAGATAAAATTTTTATTTAATTATTTGACCTTCTTCCCTGACATCCATTTCTTGAGCCCTTTGAGGGCAAAGTTCACAGACTTTATCAAAGGCCCTACCTAATCACAAGAAACTCAATTCATTACACTGAATCAAGAATCAATCATGATTGGGAATGAATTTAATAATAATTATAATTATATGGTTTGTAATTGTACGAGTACCTCGTCTCTGAAAGATTCGACAGGGTGTTTTCCTAGGTCGTTTTTTAGGGCATCACAAATGGCATCTTCTTTTTCGACAAGAAGGGATAGAAGATTCTGGAGCTGGGATCTTCTCCAGGATTCTTCCTTTGTCTTTCCAGAATTAAATGTGTGTCTCAATTGATCCACCATAGCCACAGCAGCTTGAGACTCCATTGTCTGATTTCTTCTTCTTCTTCTTCTTCTTCTTGTTTTTTTTTTTTTTTTTTTAAAGGTGATTTGTTTTTCTGTTATTTATGGCGTCGGGCATTGGGAAGAGATGGGCATTAAAGCAGCTGCCTTTTCTGCGAGCCAACTACTTTTTCTGAGATGGTACTTTACTGCACTTCACGCGCGCAACATACTCTGTCACTTTTCAATTAAGGTTGTTGGAGAGTTTAAGGTCTCTTTTGTCTTTTAGGGTGATATTGTTTGAGGGATTGAATTAGATTTTTATTATTTAATTCTAATTTTTTTTTTCAAAAATATTAAATCATAATATCTATTTTTTATTTTTTATATTATACTAAAAATTAATTTTACATTCAAAATATTACATCAATACTTATTTATATCACATCATAAAACTATTCAAATTCAAAATTTTTACTATTCAAATCCCAACTCAAAATCCAAACTCCAAACAAAAACTCCAAACAAACACACCCTTAGGGGTGTGTTTGTTTGGGGGTTTGGATTTTGGATTGGGATTTGAATAGTAAAAATTTTGAATTTGAATAGTTGTATGATGTGATATAAATAGGGTTTGATGTGATGTTTTGAATGTAAAATTGATTTTTAGTATAATATAAAAAATGAAAAATAGGTGTTTGATTTGATGTTTTTGGGGGAAAAAAATTGGATGAATAATGAAAATCCTCCAAAATCCTTCAAACAAACACACCCTTAGTTTCTTGGATGGATGATTATTTCATTTCTTTTATTTTATTTATTTTTTTTTTTTTTGGTAAAATTACGAAACTAGCAGGTTTGCTATTCGAGATTTTTTTAGTTATATTTGTAGTTTGTACTTTCCCTGTCAACTCTGCAATTGCATGTCCGTATGCATTTACAATACCCATCTTGTTTACTTGTATTGAGTTTTGTTTTTACTCCCCCAGTCTCTATAGTTTTAATTGAATTGGATACGAGATTTAAGGAATATTGATATTATAGTGGTAGTTAATAAAAAATATGGATAAAAATTTTTTTAGTCCTTGCGAGTGTATTAGTGTAAAAAGTAGTGGTAATTGGGTAATAAAAATAAAAAAGTATGGGTTGTTTAATGATGATATGATTATTTATGAAAATAAAACTATTATTTTGGAACGGAAAAAAATGGTAAACAAAACTATTGAAGTGAGACGGAGGAAGGACTTTATTTGTCCAATTTACTATAGATACGAGAATTGATAAAAGATATATTATCTCTGTCTAACTCTGAGGGTCTCATTTATATTTTTGCGTGTTGATATTTGAATGTTAATTATTATATCAAAACGTAGTACAAATTAAAAAAAAAAATTGCAAAAATACTTCAATTAGTGTCTTATAATACTAATAGAATGACATTTGTTAAAAAATTATACAAGTATAATGATAATTTTAATGTTAATACAATGACGCAAAAAAATATATCTGACCTTAACGGCGGACGGAGGGAGCAATTAGTAATTAGTTAAAAAGTTTATTAGTAAAAATAATTATTATATAGTAAAATTAATTATAAAATAAGATTAAATAACTAAATAATATTTAAAAATTATTAAATTTAAAATGTATTTAATCATATTTCTTAAAAGAAAAAAAAAAGATGAAACGAACGAAAATAAAAATAATGACAAAAAGTAATAATTTTATTAGTTATAAGAGTGTATAAAATAATTTTGACAATTGTATTCTCATAAGTACAAAATAAATAAATATTTTTTTTTTAAGTTAGGATTTTTTGGTATTAATATATATGTATAGCGCATTTGGAACATAGAATTGAATCACAGAAAAATTAAAGTAGAAAATAAATTATAAAAAAAAATAATTCAATAAAGTATGAGAATTAATTATTTATTTGGTAAAACATAAAATTCAATAAAAAAAATAAAAAAAATGTAGTTATTTGATTGAATTAATCAAAAAAATAATAATAAATCAGAAAATAAGAGAGAATTTTAGTGACTGAAAATTCATAAAAAAATATTTTTGGTATTTTTTTTAATAATAAATTAGGTGTGGTGTTTTGTAAAATTGAATCAATATAATTAAAAAATAATAATAAATAAATACACCATCATTTCTTTCTATTTCTCAATATATAAAAGATAAAATTAAAATAAAAAATGATAAATGATCTATTTATCAAATTTGAATTCTTTGACTCAAATAAATAAGAGATATAAACATATTTTTATTATTTTACTCTCATGTTATCGTACTAAACACACCTTTATTATGATAAAAAAAAATAGATATTTTTAAATATAATAAACAAAAATGATATATATATATATAAAGTACATTGAGAGAAAATATAATATAGTGATATTTAATTTAGAGAGTAAGACACATTATTATTTGTAAATCCATCGATGAGTGTTGAAATTTGAATCCATCGATAAATTAAACCATTTTAAATCAATTTTTGTCTTATTTGAACAAGCTACCAATAGAGAATGAGTTGTAAATACATCGATGATGTCTTGACAAGTAAGACACATCACATATATTTGGTAATTGTGGCAAATAATTTACGTATGAGCATACTTGACTTAATTAAAACTTAAGCTAAAATGGGTACAAGTCATTGGAGTAATAATGTTTTTGATAGAGTATCTTATAACAATAACATTAGCTCAAAAAGAACTAAAATAAATTAATATGATATATATATATGTATTCATCAAAGTCAAATTCAACAATACCATATAATAATGGAATAGAAAAATCTCCCACAATTAGTTCTTCGAGTTTAAATACATGTAAGAGCAAAGAGGAACGAGGACAAAACAAGTCCTCAAATTTAAGCTCTTCTTACAATTGAAAGTTTTTAAAATATTTAAAATATATATTTGTGATAAAATATAAAAAATAATATATATGTATAAAATAAAAATAATATTGTGTGTGTTTATGCAGTAATTCTAAAAATCTCATAAAAAAAAAAAAATTATTTTCTTGACTAATGAATGTCCAAATTGAACTCAATAAATATGTGAATTTTCTATATTTTAATAGAAAAAATAGGATGAGCTAATAAAATTGAGTGACTAAAAGATTTTGAGCGATTTTTTTTCTACCCGAAAGTGCGCACTGGGTAAACTCCCGGCCGAGCCTAGTACCCAGCAAACCAGGTCCAACGGGAAAATCACACTAGACGAACTATGTGTGACGGGTGTTTGACCTGAGGTGTCGGGGGGTTCACCAGGCCCAACGGGAAAGTCACACTAGGCGAATAATGTGTGGCGGGTATTTGACCTGAGGTGTCGAAGTTTGAACCCATGACCTCATGGTCACAAATCTAACCCCTACACTTAGGGGTCGATAAAACGAAGTATTTGTGATTGAGATCCGTTGCTTTCTTTAATGACTATATTAAATTGGCTGAAATGAGCTTTAGCTAAAATATGGGATTTAGGAAATACAATTTTGATAGTTTTTGAATTTTTTATTTTACTTTTTGTTAGATATATTTTTATAGATTAGTTTTAATGGATAAAAAAAAAAGAAAAAATATATAAATAAAAATATTTACAAAAAGTATGAATATTCTACATTAAAATAATATTAATAGATTATAATTAAAAAGACATAATTTAAATAGGTGTGCAAAAAGTAAAACTAAAAATGAAAAAAAGTAAAACTCAATAAAAAGAAATGGAAAAGAGGTACTCCCTCCGTCCCGGTGAAAGAGTGGCACTTGCTTTTTGCACGTAAATTTTTAAATATTAGTATTATATTGGATTGTAGTAAAAAAGACAAAAATACTCCTATTAGTATAGTATAATATAAAAGTAATAACATTTGTGTAATATATTATAAGTTGAAAGGGTATTTATTATGTTAGGTAAATAGTACAATTACTAAATTAGGAAATAGTAACCTTATTTTGGGACAGACGCAAAATATAAAATGACAATATTTCAATGAAACAAAGAGAGAATATATAATTATTTTAGTGTGCTCAATAATGTTGGTCAGCTATGTGATTGATGACTATTAATTTCACTACTACTAGCTTGCCAAATTATTGATATGGCCTTTTATTATTATTATTATTATTATTATTATTATTATTATTATTATCATTAACAAGGTTAAAACAATTAAAAAAGAATAGAGTTGGTTTAACTTGGTTTAAAAAATGTTATATTTTATGAGAATAAATAATATATATATATATTTTTTTTATCCGGAAAATTATGTACTATAATTTTGATTCGGTACAAAAATTAAAAAATAATAATATTTTAATATTAAATTGAAGTATGTAAAAGTTTAAGGTGAGAGTACTATGAAAAATTTAATTTAAGTATTTGATAAAAAATTAGTGATATAAATATAAAATATAATAATAAATTGATTATTAGTTGTTAAAATAAAAATAATAAAATTATTGATGAATAAATTTATTATAAATAAAATAGACATACAAATTCAACGGGCATAAAAAATAGTAAAATAACTTTGACGTACTGGGTAGTGTATTAAAATTTTTGTATATATACATATTTTATATTGAAAATAATAATACTCAAGACAACCGAAGGCAATTAGTCATTTTAATTATTAATTAATTTATTAAAATTTTAATTTAATAATGATTGTATTATAATTTAACAATTGTAGTATTGAAGGACATAAAAGAATTCTAGTTGTGAAATAAAATATGTCAAGTGTTGGGTGTATTGTGTTCCTAAAAAAAAAAAATATACATTTCTTTTAAAAAAAATTAATATATTACACATATTCATTATTTTTTATATTTTATATACAATTTTCTATCTATTATATATATATATATTCAAATTATTTCAAAAAATAAACACACACTAAAAATATTAGACAACATATATAAATAGTTATTAAGCAATATAAGAAATTATAAATCACATATGTGTCATTTCAATTTGGATTGAATTTGAATATTTTGAATAATACTATTTGATATAATATGTTATAATATATATTTTTCGAAAAATATAAAATATAAATGGTAAAAATTTGTATAGAGACTCAAAACAAATTCTTTAGTT